AAACATCAGTTCCTGTTTGCTTAGTGCTTTTCCAAACATTCAGCTGGTAAAGGGGTCTTTACTACCCCAACAGTAAGATGTGCCACTTTGCCAAAGCACAAATTTTTGTAAGAAGGAACCTATGATACAAGAAAGCAAGGAGGTTGTTTTGTGGCTGCAGAAAGAATTAATAATATGATATTAGAAGCGATAAGGAAATTGCTTTCCATACCTCATCACCATGCTAAAGGGAAGCAGCCAGATTTTGCAGCATCAATCTACTAGCTAAATAGAACATCAGTGAGAGTAAGTGGAGGTTTTATAGGATTTTGGGTTACCCTGATTTTCAATCAAACATAATGAACTTTGAAACCACTGTCCTTCTAGGAAGGAGGAAGAACTAGATAACCATGAGTTGGGATTCAAACCTACCATTCCTGAGAACCTGTTAACAATTAACCAGAAATAACTTTCACTACAATTCTTTAACATTACAACAGTAGTGAGTGAGGGAGATACCAACATTTCCCAGGATGCCTGGGTTCGATGTGATACTCATTGAAAACACCAGAACTCTCAACTCCTGTGCACCTGCAGTAAAAAGTTGATTGTTATCAGGAGGATTGTGACAACAGAAGCCATGATGAAAGAAGTGGAGGTTGCTACAGGATCCATGAGTATAAAGAACAGAAGCTTCTAAAAATAAGAGAAAATAATGGGGGGGGTTGGTTATTGTTGGATTAGACATGGATCAAAGAAATGAGATATTCTGGCTGTAGGAAAGTTATCAAACTGCAACTTTGCCCAGAAGTGATAAGTAGGACCTGATCTAGCCAGTTGTAGGAGTACAAGTAACACAGATATAGGTGACTGGTCTGCCATCCGGCTATAGCAAGAACAGTTTTCAAGCCATGATGCTAGATTGATATTGTGTGTGTGTGTGTGTGTGTGTGTGTGTGTGTGTAGGGGTGGAGGTAGGGAGATTGCACTTAAGCTTTCAAAGTATAATAGACACCCCATCCTTTTTTAGCCAGGTAGGATAGCATTACATATCAGGTATGGTATACAGATCTGTGCCTGGAGTCAGGAAGACTTGAGTTCAAATTTGACCTCAGGCAGCCTACTAGCTGTGTGAGCCTGAGCCAGTAATTTAGCCTGTCTGCATCAGTTTCCCCATCTGTAAAACAGAAATAATATCAGCATCTCCTTTGCAGGGTTGTAGTAAGGATCAAATAAGACAATGTTTCTAAAGCATCTGGCACATAATAGGCACTATAAATATTTATTCTCTCTTTCCCTCCCTTGTGGACCTGTGAATTTTAGAGGAGTTCGTTTTCTAAACTACTCTGGGAGGAAAAGCAGAAGAAATTGTACTCATTTGGGAATATGTATTAATGCTATTTTCTCTTTTACATTGCTATTACTCTAGTTCTTCAATTAAATATTTTACTGTTGCAGTGCAATTCTTACTCTGGATCTGTGAGTACAATGAGCCACCACAAATCTAGACCCAAGTTAACTTTCATTTAATTCAATTCAATAAACATTTATTAAGCACCTATGATGTGCCTAGCACTGTGCTAAGCACAGTAGAACTTCTGGTGTTGTTATTGTTGTGAAGTTGTTTTGGGGGGGTTTTTTTGTTTGTTTTTTCCAAACTGGATAGAGACAAACAAGCCAGAAAGACAAGATATCATTTAAAAGCCCCAACCTTTTTGAATTCAAGTCTGAGAGATTCCAGCGATGTCACAGGCTACCATGGGTACCCCAATCCAAATGAACATCTCGCACTATATTTAAGGAAGTATGTTTTGTATTCAAATGAAGAATATGACCAGAGTTTCCCTGTCCATATTGAAGAGGCAGACAAGAATTACTTGCTTGTTCAGGAAAAAAATAATAAGCCAATAAGCTTTTTTCTTTTTCAGTACAACAGCTTTCACAAATTTTTAAAACAAAAGAATCTGAAGTTTATTATATAATAGCAACATAAAAGAAGTAGATCTAGAAAAAAAATAGAACAAGCTCCCTGAACACCAATTAGTATACTGACTTCAAATTGGTGATTCTTATTGCCATCAAGAGTTTCATTACTAAGATAGAAAGCATGGAAAGGCTCAAATTTAAAGTCAGCAAACAATATTTAGACCTATTTCAACATGTTCTGTTAAATAATGAACTTCGAGTTGCAACATACTCTCTATTACCTGAATATTATTTAATATTAATTTAAATTAAATTAAATTAATTTTAATATTAATTTTAATAAATAATTTAATTAATTTAATTACTAATTTTAATTAATAATTAATAATTAATTTTAATAATTGTGTTAATTTAATATTAATTTAACATTAGGACTAGTCATGGAAGTCCCAAAAAACTGCTGCTCTTCATCTTCTCCTTTCCTCCCGACCCCTCTTCAATCACTGGAAATAGATACAAATTAACACCAGCAAACTTAGAACAATGTCTCCAGTCCTAAGTACAGTGCCTGGCATATAGTAAGCACTTAATAAATGCTTGTTAATTGATGACCAGAGGCAGCCTTAAGAGGAAACCTAGCACTTCAATCATGGTGCCCACATACAGCTAAAACTTCCATTCCATGGACAGACCCTCTGGCAGGGTCCAGGGACAGAGCATTTGGAAGCATGTTTCCTGTGGCCACTTGGCCCCTCTCCAATACCCAAAATATTGGTTATGCAAAATAGGTGCAATCTCCAGTTATCTGGACTTTGCTCACCCACCAACCAACATCTGGGTTCAGCATGATTCCTGACCTCCACCTCAATCTACAGATCTCAGACCCTAAAGGACCTAGCTGAACAGGAAAGCGAAGCCACAAGTCATGGTCAGGAAAACAGAAATGTGTGCAGAATAATTAAAGAGGAATATGTTTTTAAATGTCCACATATGTATTTTAACATCTAAAACACTGGGACCAAGTCTCTGGAGGGATGAAGTAAACTCACAAAACCCTGGCTATCTAATTGCATGTAACTAGCTTTTATGTTTGATGCTTAAATTTCCCAGGAAGCTAAAATGGTCATATGTAGAAATGGCAGTTCTGTTCCAAGAGATGATACATTTTTCTTCACTGTAGGAACAAACCCCTTCTTTGGTTCATGGCTAGTGACCAGAAAGTTTTTTTTAACATCTATTTCTTATGCTGACCTATTTTGGAAGCCTAAATTCCCAATAATTAAATTGCCAATAAGCTGAAGCCATTCTTTAGAATGGGGCTATTGAATTCCAAGGAAATGTTCCTGGGGGATCAGCCCCAAGATATTTGGCACAGATTACTGTAAATATTTGTAAAGTACTGGGTAAACGGACAGTGTTTGACTGCCCTCAAACCTATACTCCCAACAGTGTGGCAGAGGCTGGGCTAGGGTTAGAGCATAGCTGGGTTGCATTTTTTTTAATTAAAAAAAACCTGTGACCTGATTATGCCTGCTTCAGTGACTGCTCAAAATTTCTCCTGTGTTCACTAAGCATGTTTACCTTAAGTGAGTTTCTGCACTGATTAAATCTGTTTCGGTTAACCAGACTCTCCTTTTGCAGGAGAGGCTTTTTCTATCACCATTCTGCTCCCAAGGGGGTATCTGTCACGGAGAATAAAATACTAATGGGGGCCAAAGGTATGAGGGAGGGAGCAGAGATTGGTTTCATAAAGCTACAGTCTAATTGGCTTTGTGGGTGTAATTACGTGTTTGTTTACAGATCACTGGCGGGGGAGAGACTTCAGAAAAACTACAGTGGTATATGCCCCCTGAAAACTTAAAAGGTAGGAAGAAAAGAACAAGAAGAGAGGGATAAAATCAACAAAGGGAAAAGAAGTGGGGCAGCTAGAGCCTGGTAAATGAATGTTGCTCACAAAGAAAGCTAGATCTTCTGATTGGTCGGCTCCGGTGTGAAGACTGGCCGGTTTCCTTTAGCCTCTCTCACCCACACCCTAAAAAACTGAGTCATTTTAAAGTTAGTTTACTTTGCTGGTAGACCTACAGACGGCCAATCTGCTCTTTCAGGAATTTTTAGGTCATGTTACTTGCTAAAGGGATGTTGTTTGAGGGTGGATATTTTAATTTCTGACTTTTGATGCTGCAAGACTGGTTTCTTCCAGAAATGCTCAACTGGAAGTCCAGGAATATTCCTGCTGGGAACCACTTTTAACATTCTAGCAAAATGCGTGGGGCAGAGAAAAGAATAGCCAGACTGGACTCCAGGCATGAAGTCCGAGTTCCACACGCAGAAACCAAAACATAAGAAGTTCACCCTACAGAGGTAGTATTGAAGCTGAATGCCTAAGACGGATAGAGAAAGTGAAAGACACAAAGCCTTTGTGTATTGAGGGGTAAGCATAAGTTTCCCACCACCACCCATATTTTTAAAAACACACATTAGGAATCACTTTAATTTTAATTAATAATTAGTAAACATTTATTAAACGCCTACTATGTGCCAGGAATAATAAGCTGAAATAAGTAGCACAGGGAATATACAATTTTAAAGTTCTACTTCCTTTTAAATATAAGCAACCAAACAATAATCGTGCGTTAAGGCACAATGGTTGACATAGGAGTTTATTTTATTGATGTCAGTGTTTTGGGGAACGAGGCAGTTATTACCAAGCAACAGCAGGTAAACATCTGAGAATACGCGACTACTTAAATCACAAGCCAAGGTTTGGGCTAATGCTTTTTGCAGTTTTTAAATGCACGTCTGAAAAATACTTATTGCCTAGTGTAACAACGATATATTTTTTTTTGCCTTTAAGAAAATCTTTTCAAAATACAAACACAATAACACGTTTTCAAGACCTTTATAGCCAAGCATCCCTGAATTAATTTAATCACCTATCCTTGCAAGCGCTGTCTGCAAAAACTGACCGAAATATCATACAAGTTATGGTTCTTGGTGAGAGTCCCCTGTTCTGATCTCAAACACTTATATTCCTCTTTATGGCACTGCCACGTTAAGTAAAAGTAAGAATAGAAAGCAAGCTCTCAGAAACATACCTTGCACCAAGAGGTTAGTAGCCACCAGCAGCTGTCTGACTTTCCGACAGCCCCACACTCACTCCTCAGGGCAGCCGAGGAGGTTCATAATATCACCAACCACTCTCGGCTGCTCACCGACTGGAGAAGAAATTGTTTCATTGCTCTCAGCGGGAACTTTCCCCCTGTGCAGCTGCTGACAGCTATACACTTTTCAAGATTGCAACAGGACTCGTATTTCCCAAACCTTTATAAGCGGACAATCTCCTCCCTGCTCTCAAGAGCATACTGCTATCAAAGCTTACACAGGCAAAGCAGGGTAGCGCAGCGGCTAGCGAGCAGCAGTTTTAGGGGAGGGGGGGGAGAGCTGCATTTATTTATACAGGAAGCTCCAGCGCAGCACTTCCTACTTCCCATCTGAGTCTCACTTCGGCTGCAGGTGACTGTTTTAACCCTGTCAGAACCTTGTATCCGCGGTGCACTCCGGAGCTCCTTCTTGCAGGATTTCTAGCATGCTTTCAATAGGTTCTCCTGGGGTAGAAATTGCAAGAAAGACTGAAAGGGGCACCTGTTAAGCCATAGCCCTCTAGCGCCTACTTGTCTCGCCCAAGCTTGGAAACCTCTCTTTATTCTCAGGGCTCTCTGCTCTCTCTTCAACACCTTGAACTCAGCTTCCTCTCCCAGGGTTCTTCCTCTTCGTTTCCTCCTTGACCCCCAACCCCCTTTGTCTTTTTTTCCCTTCTCCCACAAGCCTCTACTGTTTCCTTCTCCTATACTTTATTTCACCAGAGCGATGAGGTCCTGTTTAGTATATGCAACGACGCAGAACAAGGGCTTGCAATTCCGGTAATGCTATTTAAATATCAGTTATTATCATCATAGTGTTGAGGTAGCACTCGCCCCAACCAAAACTGCCTTCTGGCCGTAACTGAAAGCTGTTTTTAATAAAGGCTTTTTCTCTAAGGACTGTCTCATTAAGGTGCCTACATGCGCAGGGATGACCCTTTTACATGTCATTTTGTCTTTTTTCAAACTGCCATGTGTTATCAATGAAGAAAGTATTCATTTGCTTTTGGGCAGCTGGTTGGCGTAGTGGCTAGAGCACTGGGCCTAGAGTTAGGATGACCTGAGTTCAAATTTAGCCTTACATACTTACTAGCTGTGTGACTCTGAGCAAGTCACTTAACCCTGTTTGCCTCAGTTTCCTCACCTGCAAAAGGAACTGGAGAAGGAAATGTCAAAACACCAGTATTCTTTTGCCTAGAAAACCCTAAATTGGGTCACAAAGAGTCAAACTCGGCCAAACGACTGACTAAACACCCACCCCTCTGTGTAATAATAGCTAACATTTATATAGCATTTAACATATGCCAGGCTCTTTACAAACTATCTCATTCGATCTTCATAACAGACCTGGGAGGCTGGTGCTATTATTATCTTCATTTTATGAAGTAAGAAACTGAGGCAGAGAGGTTAAAGTGATTTGCCCAATCAGCTCTAAGTGTCTGAAGGTAGATTTGAATTCAGGTTTTCGTGTCTCCAGGACCAGCGCTCTATCCACTGCGCCACCTAGCAGCCGCAAGTACCTACCCCAAATATACCTTAACTTCCTTTAGGTGAGCTCGCAGCTGGGCAACTATCTACCTTAGTGTGACTTTCATACACCCCCAGATCTTGAAGAGCTAAATTTTTGTATACTTTCTGAATTGTATACAGCTGACCTGTTTAGGTCTATGAACTACTAAAATGAACCTATTAGGTCGAATAGCTGCAGTGTAAGATAGCTCTGAAATGTCACAACTCCAACACAAGGTTCTCCCTGATCACTGCAGTTAAATGCAACAGAAACAATGAATATATTTGCTAAGGGAGAAGAGACTCATATGGTCCTTTGTGGAAGAGATCTATCTGTTCTTGCCAATGAAATAGCAACAGTAGGCACCACTCCAAGGGACACAGAGCAAACTGCTCTCAGCGCCTGACTGGAGGAAAAGTTCCAGGTGACAAATAAGGAAGGACAGCATTTCTATCTGTGCGCAGCTGAGGGTGGGAGAAGGAGAGGTAAGAAAGGCTGGCCTGAGAGAGAGATGGACACCACAGCAGAGGGTGGACATGTGCAAAGGTAAAGCTCGAAGAGACAGCCAATGGACAGTCCAACCTTATTTTCAAGGTGCAGACGGAGCTTATTAGTAAGTGAGCCAAGGCTAGAACCCAGCTCTCTAGATTCAGTTTTGTGACCTTTGCTCCACAACTGGATGAGAAAAGAACTCATCCCTTAAGTGGGCACTGTGAGAAACTGTCAATGAACCTCAACTAGAGCTAAAACTAAGAGTTAGGACAGCCCAGGGACACAGAACCAGAAAATGCTAAACTAAACAACCCAGAAGATGTACATTATACAAATGCATTAATAGAACTCAATTCTTTTTAAAAAAAACCCTCTTTAAAATAAATTCCACACATTTAAATTGTAATTTCCTATCTAAAAGATAAGGCAAAGAGCTAAATACAACAGAAATATCTACATTCTTTAAATAAAAATCTCACTACTCCAAATCCCTAGAAACAACACACTAATTTAAAAGGTAATCTTAGATAATTGAATAATTTGTTTTGCTTTCTCTGGGTGGGGCAGAGGCAGCCAAGAGGTGTAGTCAAAAGAGTACAGAGTTTAGAAGCCCAACCACATGAGTTCAAATCTTGCCCTCAAACACTTTACTAGCCCTATAACTTGAACAAGTCAGTATAAATTGAACAAGTTAATTAAATTCTTGTAGCTTCAGTTGTTCATCAAGTAAATTGAGGGGCAGGCCAGGAAAGCCCCTTCCAGCTCTAAATCTATGGTCTCATGTGCCATGAGTGGAAAAAATTAGTGTTTTCAATTCAGGAGACTGAGTCCAAATCTTAGCTCTACCACTTGGCTGTATGGCTCAGACCTAGTTATATCACATCATTGTGCCTTACTTTCATCATCATAACATGGATATAATCATCTTTGCACATGATTATTGTGAGAGGACTAAATGCTATAAAAATGAGAAATTTATATTCTGGTGGAATATAAGCTTCTAGAGTATAAGGGCAGCTAGATGGCATATTGGATAGAGCAGAGGGCCTGGAGTCAGGAAGACCTGAGTTCAAATCTTGCCCCAGACACTACCTGTGTGATCCTGGGCAAGTCACTTAACCCTGTTTTCCTTAGTTTCCTCATCTGTAAAATGGCAAAGGAAATGACAAAGCACTCCAATATCTTTGCCAAGAAAGCCCCAAATGGGGGCACAGAGACATGACTGAAAATGACTGAACAAAAACAGAAAACAAGGGCAGTGTCAGGTTTTTTTTTCTTTGTATCCCCAGTAATCTTAAACATATTACTGTAGATTCTTCATAAATATTTACTAAATGAATTAATGCATGCCCACATTAATAGTAAACATACGTGTATTTGAAAATCCTCGTATAGGCAAATATGCATGTCAAACTGGTATTGTGCAAACTAATATTGTGCAAAAGTTATTACAAACCTAATTAAGTAAGTCCAGAGCAACCTCTCTTCACACTGTCAAAAAAAAGAGGTCACTTTTGTTTCTTCACCCTGACAAGTGATATACAGCCAAAACCTTATTCAAAATGAAATTCTTGTAAACAGTTATAAACATTATGTAACAGGAGGTCCCCAACTGTGATGGCTTTCCTTGCAATGTAATAACAAAAGATACTTCCTAGTATGAAATACACAAAGCCATACAGAGAAAATCATTTTTGACACTAACAGGAAACAATAATAAGATTAGTAATTTACTCCCTTTACTCTTGTCTTTACTGGTAAAAAGGGAGAAGGGAACCCCAGGTCACAATCAGAATGTTCATGCCACAAATTTAGCCAGAAAACAACAATTGAGGCAATGTGACTTACTCACTTCTACACATATAGAAGTTATGGTTCGCTTAAATTTTTCCATTTAAAAGTTTATTTTCCTGTATTAGATGGAGTTCGGCATAGTGGAGAGAGGGCTGGCCTAGGAGACCACAGATTGAAGCCCCACCTTTTACACTAAGGGATGTGACCCCTGGACAAGTCACTTAACTTGTCAATGCTCTAGACAGCTCTCTTAACATTAAAGTTGCTGAGAAGGTACTGAGCTACACTGGTAGATAAAATTTTTTCACTACATCAATAAGACCACGGGTTGGGCCCCATTTCTTGTCCCTTTCTCCTGGATTACTTATGAGAAAAACAAAATCTGTTGCTGTGCTAAAGAATCAACTTAGCTCTTCTCTAGTTTTGACTAGGTAAATAAATGACTTACATTTCAGGCTTGCTATCCAAACTATTCCTTTAGCCAAAGCATTATAAAATGGCTATAGTCAAGTATAATGAATCAAATGGAAGAATGCAAAATGTGTTGAGTACCAGGTTCTGCAATAATGTACAATTCAGGGGCAGCTAGGTGGTGCAGTGGATAGAACTCTACCCTTGGAGTCAGCCAGACCTGGGTTCAAATCTGACCTCAGACACTTGACAGTAACTGTGTGAACCTGGGCAATTCACTTAACCCCAAATGTCTAAGCAAATAAATAAATAATAATAAAAATGTACAATTCCCAATACACAAACAGAAAAACTGTAAAGGTAAAGAGCCTGGCAGGCTGCCATTGGCAGCTAAAACATGGTGGCATCTTAATTGGCACTTTTCTGATACATTTGATATGACTCATCTCATCTCTATGTAAATTAAATGTGATCACAATGATAAGGGTTACCCCCAAACCAAAAGAAAATCCAAAGTCTAATAGGACAGTCTCAGACTACTCAGACCAAATATATTCCCCATGTTAGGAATCCTCTCCCTCTTTATCTCTACCACCTAGCTGCTCCATTTTTCTTCAAGTTTGTTGTTGTTGTTGATCAGTCATTCAGTGGTGTCTGACTCTTCATTTGTCCATGGGGTTTTCTTGGCAAAGATATTGGAGTGGTTTACCATTTCCTTCTCCAGTAGATTAAGGCAAACAGAAGTGACTTGCCCAGGGTCACACAGCTGGTAAATACCTGAGACTGGATTTGAACTCAGGTCTTCCTGACTCCAGGCCCAGCACTCTATCTACTGACTTACCTATCCACTGACTTATCTTTTGCCTTCTTCAAGAGGCTGTCTTACTTTAATATTCAGCTTAAATCCCACTTTCTGCAAAAGGCCTTTCTAGGTCCTAACACCCAACCCTACCTCACATACTGCTAATGTCTTCCCTCTGAGATATCTCCAATTTACCCTGTATATATCTTGCATGTATACATAGTCGTTTGCATGTTGCCTCCTTCATCAGAATGTGTCACTTAACATCCCTGGGTCTCAGTTTTCTCATCTGTAAATTGAGGGGGTTGGACTCCATGGCCTCTGAGATCCTTTCCACCTCTAAATTTATGATCTTGTCATCCTATCTTCACCAACAAATTATCCAAATTCTCCTGATGCCAGTGAATAGTGGTATTCAAGGGAAGGATTTTGGAGGATTAGATTGCTTAGGATTGATGACATCCTATACAATAGCACAGAGATGACAGAATTAGGGATAAGGAAGAGATGTTATTCAAAGGTGACCAATGTTACTCACCAAACATTCTCGTCCTAAAAAAAAAAAATCAGG